CTTGACAGTGTGCGCGCAGCGCAATTACGTGTGCACGGTGTAAAAAAAAAAAAAAAAAAAAAAAAAAAAGAGCAAATAAAAAGCGAATAAAGAAACCAATTGTGGTAAAAAAAAGCTAGCGGGGTCAGGTAAATTTTCCTCACAAGAGCAAAAAGAACAAGAAAAAAAAAAAAATATATATATATATATATATAAATGTTGCTTAAAAAAAGCTAGCTGGGTCAGGCAAAATTTTTGACAAAGACAATTAAACGCGCCACTTAGCTGAAAGGCACAGGGGGACAATCCCAAGTCGCCCAGCACTAATGCTATGCCCTGCGCTGCCCCTAAGTGAAACAACTCGTCGGCAAACCACTGAAGGCGCAATGCAAACCTCCCCATAGAATGGTGATACGCTTAATTTTTAAGTTCAAAAAGTTGTAAATGGCGTCAAAGTCAAAAGTGAAGCTGCTAAATGCGAGAATAATTGTCTTCAAGTGGGTGTCCACCTCGTAACTACCATCTGTGTAGTTGATATAAACTCCTTTTTTAAAGTTATTTAAAAAGGTGTTAATGTGAACAGAATGTTTTAGTCTTTTTTTTTTAAATTGTTCTGGGGATCTCATATCAATAATTATGTAATTATCAAGAGATAATTCGCTCGCCAAGTCTGTGATATATACAAATGGAAACATGGGAAAGTTGCACAGCCTCACAAGATCTTCCCTATTGAATTTCTTTTTAACGTTTTTATTTGTTAACTTGTAGTACACACACTTGGTTCCGCTGCTTTTATTTTTATTTTTTATTTTTGTTTCTTTCCCCATCTTCTTATCTTCACATTGATAATTTGTCACGACATCCGTTTCATAGTGAGCGAACTCACTTAAGTTTTTTATTTTTTTGTTTATCTTGTAATTGTGTAAAAATAATTCACAGTGATGCGCAACGCTTCGCGTTTTTGCCTTGCTATTGTGTGCGTCAACTGTTTCATCTTCCTGCGCGACTGCTGGTGAGAGCAAGTTGGCAAAGTCGGCACTTTCTCCCCACTTGTCATCGTTTAGTTTTTTAAGTTTTATTTTTTCCAGTTCTAATTGTTTATGTTTTAATTTTTCATGCTTTAATATTTCTGTTTCATTTGCCCCTCCCCTTAACGACTTAACAGTTGTCCTACTTACCAAGCCATTTTTAATTAAAGTTGTCCTCTCTTTGGAGGGAGCCTCTGCCGCTACTCCACCGTTGCCGCAGTCCCTACCTACGGAGACACTAGCGCCTTTTTTCCTGTACACCCTAAATGTGTCCCTATGCACGTAATAGCGCACCCAGTTGGCATCGCTGATGAGATAGGGGAGGTAGTTAATATGGGCCCGTTCATTTTCAAGTAGGTTCGTAGTATGATTGGAATTGTTCACGCCTCCATGGGTGTTCGTTTCTTCCCCCAAATCGCTGCCTACCTGAGGAAACTGCATCTGCGACATGGGGCAAGTGCTAAACATATCCATAGAGGTCTTCAAAACAAAATTTAGGTTCACCAAACTAGCTAGCGAAAATATATTCTTCTCAAAATTATCCCTGCACATGTTCATAACAATGTGTCTTTTTAAATAAATTAAAATGCTCAAGCAGACAAAAAAAAGGTAATACCTTGGCTGAGTAAGAATCCTATCAAGTAGCCAAAAAAACTTTTGTGAATCGAAGAAGTTGGAAAATAGGGAACAGACCCAACTATAAACCACCCTTTCAACCTTAATGTCGTTTTTAAAAAAAAATAAAGTCAATTCAGGGGCGTAATAACTTAGCAGGCAATTAAAAGTGAAAGCAAATTCCCTCCACTTGTTCTCACTTGAGTAAAGATCGAGCAAATAATTCTGCACCACCCGCTTGCTGCACTTGTAGCATAAGTAAGTACTATCATAGTAGAGTAGACATAATGGAAGGAGCAAACTTCTTAGGTGTTTATTTCTTACCCCCAATTTTATATTAAGTAGTAGTTCTAGCGTGAGCATTTTTTTTGCAAATTGGGGGCTTCCCACCAAGTCGTTATATCTCCTGCGTTTTTTAAGAAAGTATTCCAATGATAATTTGGCTGTATCGAAGGGGTGGTTATTGGTAGTCCCCTCCTCTGTTTCATCTCCCCCCTCGCAACGTCCATCATTTCTCCCCTCTAGGTCTCCACTACACAGATTAATCTTCCCTTTCTCGTCCAAATTGCCTGGCGAATTCTCTTGTTGCGTCTCCCTGAAGCCCCCCCTCAAATAAGCCTCACAAATTAATCGTCTCATTTTGTCTTTCTTGCCCGATGCCTGCCTCACCAGCAAGCAGTATTTATACCCAAGCAGAGTGAGGTAGGCTACCCCACGCATGTGCCCTGGGAATCCTCTCCTCACCTCTTTCTCTAATTCATCCCTGTTGAGCGGGTCGAAGGTTAGTAATTTCTGCAATTTCACGTGGAGACTATACTGGTAAAGGAAGGAGTGATCCTTCTCGTACACGCATGTCACGTTATTCACTGGGTCGCTTCCACCGTTCTGCACCTTCGAATGAACTAACATATATGCATCCTCCAGCGCGTCGTAAAATTCAACCAGCCTCACCCCCAACACTCTCTTCGCGCTACAATCGTGCAGCGGCAGAGACGTGTATTTCCCTTCAGTGGGAATGTTGAAAAAGAATGAATGGGCTATACCATCCTCGTTAGTTGCTACTTCACCCAAGTGATCTGAACTAACATCTCCATAACGCTGCTCCTGCTTGGCGACCTTTACCCCATCAGACGGGTATGCGCTCGTATGTACCCACTTATTCTGTGCAATTTTGTCTATCGTGAGGACACCCTGGTGAGTGATCCTACCGAGTGTGTTCTTCTTACACATGAGGCGTCTTCTCCCCTTCACACAAAAGGTATATCCATTTGTGCAGGTACCTTTGGTGAACAAGTCACCACGACACTTGACCCTTTTGTAGGTACACCCAAAACTTCCATGACCTCGTGAACACCTTACATTTGAATCCCCTCTGATTAAATGAGAGTACACCTTAAGCACCCCTTGGTATCTCCCCAACAAAAGGAGTTTATAAAAGCTAAAAAAAAATAACTCGTAAAACTGCTTCTTCCTTGTGTAGGCTATGTAAGGCAATCTCAAAATGCTACATGCCTTCTTAACCCCATTTACGTAGAGCAGCTGGTTCAGGTAATCCATTCTATATAGCATCTCAAACCAGAAATGTATGTCCTTGGTCATTATAAAATGTGTGCTCTCCAGTTGGTCTCCCATGACATTGCTTCGGACGTACTCTACTACGTAACGGTTGTAGTGGTTGTAACGGTTGTAATGGGTCGCTTCGAATTTTTTTTCTCCCTTCAAACGGGTTAGACAATTTAATACCGTCTCTCCCTGTTGGGGGGTTATCACCACGTGGCTGCTGTTATCCCTTTTTATGGGGGTTGAATCATCACCTTTGGGGGAAGGCACCGTTTGTGGTTGTTCCCCTCCACACTGCTTCATAACCACGCTCGTGCCTCGAGGCAAAATGGGTGCGCCATCCTCCCGGGGGTAGAAGTATGGATGAGAAAGGAGAGAAGAGGAACCATTCTGCTCACCACCTCGTAAAGACAAACACTTGTGCAAAAGGTTAAAAAAAAAAATCATCTCATTATGTTCACCCCCCTGGTGCATTATTTTCTCCACGTTTTGCTTCAACACGTGTAGAGTGAAAAACTCGGAGAATAATTTTTCCACCCATTTGACAAATGGAACAGTTACGCTGACGTTGACGAGGCGTTCGATGAGGCTCTTCACCACCCGGTAGGTCAGCAGGTTCGCACGCGCGCAGCTCCTCTTCACGCCGTTCTTCCCCGCGACGTTCTTCTTTGCGCTGTCCGCGCCGCCCCGGTAGCGCTGCCTCCCAAATGCACGAAAGAGGACATACACATTCATGTCTAGGAGACTCACCTCGTGTGAAGCGCCCACATCGACCATAAGATGATAAGCCTTCGTGTACAAAAGGAACACAAAGATGGTCTTCACCTTTTCCAATGTGCCTTCCCCTTCTGCTGATTTGTTAATGTAAAGTGAAGTCTCATCACCACCATTGCGTCTTCCACTTGGCTGCGTCCCTTCCTCACTGTCTTTGCACATGCTCTTCAGTGTCCCCACAACTTGGTGAAGTTCATTCAAGCGGGACTTCTTCTCGCATGTGGACTGGCCACAAATGGGTCCACAATTCCTCACAAGGAAATGAAAGTCAAATATGCCATTCACCAACTGCAGGATAATTATCCCCACGCTGAAGATATCAACATGTTTGAACACATCACAGTTGGAAGATCCTTTTTTTTTTCCATTCACATGCACTAAATCGTTGAAAAAGAAAAAGGGGGGGAAGTACAAGGCGTTATTAACAAACCGTTTGTCTGCACAGGGGATACTCATTCGTGTTGGTCTGTTCTTTTTCCCACCGTCTTTTTCTCCCTTCACCTTCACACTGGTCATAGTCTCTGCTTGGGAAGGGGGCAACCACCTCAATGTGCTTTTAAAAAAATTATCACACCGATCACGCCCATCACGCCCATCACACCAGTAGCTACCAAACAAGTACGACACACAGTAATTATGAATCTTTATTTCTCCCTTGGGTGTTACGAGCAGATCCTTCAAGGTCAAATTCAAACATGTTATTTCTTTGGAGTGCAGGTAGTCAATTGCAGAAAGAATTTGCTTAATTATTTGTTTCGTCGTGTGGGCATCGATGAGCTTCCTCCTGGAGATGCTCCCCTGCTGGGAAGAACTCGAGCAATCCTTTTCTCCATTCACTGTTGCTCCATTCAATGTCGCTCCGTTTAGTGCTGCTCCGCTTACCGCCCTCGGGATGCATTTAAAATTGACCACGTCCATTTCTTCCTCGCGTAGCAGATCGTACACGGACAAAGAGTAATACTCAGAGGTTAATACAAAGTCATCTCCCCTTCGACATAAATTGAAGTAACTGCACACATTGGGGTGGTTCAGGCGTTTTACTTTTTCAAATTTGCTTGCGATTGAGCTGTACTTATTTTTGTGCTTTCCTTTTTCTGTCCTCCCATGAGATGGTACGTCTTCTCTTCTTCCTGTTGACCTGACCACCCCAGATGTTTTTTTCCCTTTCCCCATCCCCTCATCAAGGGAGTAGCTTTGAATCCCGAGTAGGAATTCAGACGACTGGCAACGCTGGTGGAACATGTCGACGTAAGGGCAGGGTGGTCGTGGTGGCGGTGACGCAAGGACAACGATCGGGCACTCCTCTGCTCTTCTTGTATGTTATCAAATTGGTGAAAGCTTTACCCAAATCAAATATTCCCCCTTTCCTTCACATACGCAATTGCTCTCTTGGGTTGAACCCCTCGGAGGCAAGCGAACTGGCCAAGTGGCGGTGAAGGGGAGAGGAGTTGTTCGTCGATCTGTTCTTTTTTCCCACCTTTTTGTGTACGATCTCCTTTTTGCTGCTGTGTGGAGTGAGGCCCATGTGTGAGTGCTCCGAATGCTGCCTCCCCCAAGGGAAGGGACATCTCCTGATGGATGCACACCGGAGGAGAGATGGCCAACGGGGGAAATCGGCTTCCGCACCTTAACCAAAAACAAAATAATGCACAGGGGTTAGTACAGGGACAACACGACGATAGTAGCCACCTCTCCCATTAACACATTCGAGCTATCCTTCCCCTTCGTGTGTGTTCCCCTGCTACCGATTATGGGTGATTATTCCCATTTGGCGGGAAAAAAAAAGAAAAGAAAAAGGCGCCCTTCCCCAAACGCACCTTCGCTTCTCCTATGTGTACTTTAAATTATTTTCTCCCTCTGCGAAAATGTCAAAAAAAAAAAAAAAAAATTCAACCAGAAAAAGGAGAAGCCCTCACGCCATCATATTTGCTCTCTACAATTTGTTCGTTCTTTTTTTTTTCTTTTTTTTTTTTTTTTTTGCCTTCCAACTTGTTACAAAGTTGGGGTGTGGGGGTAGTGACACCGTTGAAAGGGGGCACACAAAAAGGGTCACCCCATTAAGGGTCAGAGGTTAGAGGCCAACACCCATAACACTATGCATTTGTACCTACCACACGTGCGTAACCGACTGTGCCTTTTTTCTTTTTTTTTTTTTTTTTGTTGTTCCTCCCTTGCGGCCACCGCTGCATGGACTGATAATCATGCCAACTAGGGCATACACCCGTAGTTCGCCGGTCGCCTATTTGTAACTACGTGTATAAAACACAGCACCTACGCAAGTTGAGGTGGGAGGTGCCTCTCCTTTTCTTTTTCCGATTGCCCCTTCCCCCACCAGGCGGTGTGCTGTTTGGCAAGCCAACTTAAAAAAAAAAAAAGTGCCAAGCGGAAAGGAGAAGAAAAAAAAAAAAAGGTACCCACAAGAAAAATACAAAATTGTACAAAATTGAAGAGCAGTACCTGGCCAGAAAAAAACCAACTGTTACATCCCTTTTTGTATTTCTTTTTATAGGGTGAATTTCAAAGAATTTTTTTTTTTTTTTTTTAACAAAAAAACGCATATGCGGATACAAGTGTACAAATAAAACGCAGTTATTTTTTTTTTTTTTTAGCACATGCTTTGGGATACGTCATTGTTATATGAAAATGCTTTAGCTTAGCCGTTTTTCCTACTCCTTTTACTTTTTCTGACTTTGTTTTTCCCCTTTTTGTGTTCCCGATTTTGTGTTTCCCCTATTGTTTTTTTTTTTTTTTTTTTCCTACTGGTCAGGCTAACATTCTTTTCACTATCCCACCCACACGCGCCCCCCCCCCCTTCCATTTTGCTTTTACAAGCGTGGCGTAAATGAGCTGCCCAATGTTAACTGCGACTTTTAGCATTGTGTAATTGTTTCCACGGCTAATTGCGCCATCCCTTTTCATTTCCCCTCCCCCGTTCGCTTGCCTATATAACGTAACGTTCTTCATGAGGCTTGTTCAGGTAGGCTCGTCGCGCTAGTGTAGAAACCCCCTGCATGTGCGCAGACCAACTACCTTACCTGTTCTCGCCACGTGACAACTTCACACACTGTCGAATTGGCTTCGAGCATGTGGCCACCGCACCCCCTTTTGGTGACTCCCCCAAAGAATATCATTTTCCGCCCCCCCCCCACGTATAGGTCCCCATAAAGGATGAGTGCTTGACCCCTAATGATGAAGCTTGAATGATATACAAAACAAAACACCATTGCAAATAAGTGAAAATATAATTCTGATCAAAAGGGGGGCATTTCCCCATTCCATTCGATATACTTTTTCTACCACGTGCACGTAGCTACGGGTTGATTAGGCTGGGAGCAACGCGCACACAGGGTCGCAGCCGAAGCAGCAGTGCAGGCCGTCGCCGCAGTAGACGCAGCCGCCGCGCATAGGCGAAGCCATCCGGAGCCCCCCCCATAAATGGAAAACCCGCGGAGGAAAAATGTGGCTTAAAAATATTTACTCGAGAACGGAAGAAACGGAGAAAAATGGAGGACAAGAAGACGCAATTGATTATGAGGAAGAGGAGCAACACAAGAGAGACGATGGTGCGAGTGGTGAGGAGGATGACTCTGCGGGGGGTAGGGAGGACGGTCCTGCGAACCGTGAAGACAATGCTGCAAACCGTGAAGACGCCTCTGATCAGGAGGAGTGCCCCCTGGACGATGACCAAGTGAATGAAAAAATTGAAGACATAATAAAAAACATGTCATCTGATGAGGAAGAAGAAGGAGAAGTGGTGGAGGACGAAATACCATATGATCGAATTGAAACAAATAATGAATTAAACAAAGAAGTGATTCTCCTCAACTTTTACGCAGACATGTCAAGTCACAGGTTATCTTCCCTCATGAGTATCTTCGGCAAGGTCAGAAATTCCTTCATAGACGACAACGAGGGGGTTCACGTTATTTTTAATTCACTTAAGAGTTCCAAACGGGCAAAGGAATTACTGGACAATGTAAAAATTAAAAATAGGAGAATACAAGTTGTGTACGGGACATATGAGGAAAGGAGGGATGATGCGAGGATGGGGGGTGCAGCTGGACCAGGGGAAGACCCATCTGATACAGGGCAAATGAGAGGAACTCTTAACGATGCCTCCTCCACTTCTTATCACGACAAATTAGGGAACCCTAAAAATGGAAAGACACCCGTAAAGCTATATAAAAATAGGAAGTATTACCTGAACACGGCTCCCACACATGTTCAAAATGGCCAGCTCAACAATTACACATATAATAATCAAGTGAAAGGTATGGTACCACATGGGAAGACGAATACGTACTTTGTCCCACCATCCTCCAGTGCAAATATGATAAACGAATTCGTTCCTCCATCCGACATGACCTTCAGTCAACAGGATAATGCACCCATGAACAACAACCTGCACAACCACCTGCACAACAACCTGCACAACCGCACCAGGGGACCCATGCCAAATAACAAACACCATCCGGATCAGGCCCCCCTGCATGATATGCCAAATTTCAATAATGTCGTAAATTATGTGCAGCCCCCTCCACCTCCTCCCCCAACATCGCGCACGCTATATAACCAGTCCTTCAGTGAATCGGGGAGAGGTAGTGGCCAAATGGAACCCTACCCTCATTATACCCACCCGAACAACCCACACCACACGTCCTCTCACCTAGGCAATGAAGGAAATGTGAATAGAATGCCAAACAACCAGCTACTATCCCCTCACGTGAAGAGAAAAAATATAACGGAAAATTTTCCCAACACATATATTTCAAGTGTATATAAAAAAAACAGTTTTGATTCTCCCCCTGGAAATACTCCTTACGTGTCCTACCCCAATCAACCTCCCACGTCTAGTAGAAACATGCACATGAAGGGAGTGCCTCCCCCGCCTCACCATATTGGCAACTCCACTCACGGTGAAACAAGTATGATCAATGTTGTTGGAGGAAACCATCCCCCTCCTCCAATAATCCCCCGTTCAAGAGAAATGCCTACCTCTACCACAGGGCCCCTCTACAATAATAGCTTTAACAAATCTCATCCCAATAATGAGCAGTACCATGGTGGCAACCACCCCAACGGTGAGGAGTACCCCATGGCCCACGGGCTTTATAACAACTATGAGGAGTACGCCACAACCCACGGGCTTTATAACAACTACGAAGAGTATGCCCCTCACTCTGCACACACAATGAAACCTTCGAAGCTTGTAAAGTATGGAAAAACAGGTAAACATAATAAACACCAGAACCTAGTGCTCACATCTGAAAGGGAAGCGAATCATTACGAGGAGCCAGTAGAGTATACCCCATTTAATGAGGACAACCCCTTTGGTATCAGTGAAGAAAATCAAATGGTAGATAATCCTACCTGGAATGACAGGAAAATAAAACAGGTTCTAAAATGGGATCAAGATGCATCTGTGGAAAAGAATCACCTCGATTTTGTAGAATCATTTGGATGTACCAAAGTTTATAATCGGTACTTACTCGTAACCAACATGCCGGACCACTTGGATAATGAAAACAAAGTCAAGGAACACATCAACGAGTTATTTTCGAGCGAAAAAATGCGCTGCTTCTGTGTGGAGGTCTCTCTCTTTGTCTGTATGGAAGTGGACGAGGAAAGGTTCTTCAAGAATGCTATCCAGGGGGAGCATGATGCACCCAACGAGGAGGCCAACCCGGAAGAGGCGCCCATCAAGGGGGAGGAGATCAACCCGGACGATGCAGCCGTCAAGGGGGAAGAAGCCAACCCGGAAGAGGAACCCCTCAAGGGGGAAGAAGTTGCACCCATTAAAGGGGAAGAAGATGCACCCAACGAGGAAGCGGGGGAACAGCCCAAGAGGGGCGGCAAGCGCAAGGGCGCGAAGAAGGCGGTCGCACCCAAGCCGAGGAAGAAGAGAGGGAAGGCCAAGAACAAGGCTGATGAGGCGGAGCAGGCGGAGGAAGTGGAACAGGTGGAACAAGTAGAGAAGGCTGATGAGGCGGAAAAGACCGAGCAGACGGAGAAGACGGAAAAGACAGAACAAACAGAACAAACGCAGCAGGTAGTGAAAGCGAAACAGACGGATGAAGCGGGTGCGGCGAGCGGGAAGCGGTACGCCCACCTGACCTTCCGAACCATCAGGAATTGCGTGGAGGCGAAAAAGGTGCTGGAAAAAAATAATTTTAAGGTGACCTTCTCCTGCCCTAGCAAAGCAAACGTCTGTCTCTGGGTAGGAAATCTGTTAAGAAATTATTTTATCAACACAGCTAACATACTTAAGAGCATGTTCACACATTTCGGTTCTGTGAAAAGCGTCAAGTACGTCTTCGAGAAGAATTGTCTCTTCATTCAATATGCCTCTGTGGCTGATGCGATAAAGGCGAGGAACCACATGTATGGACTACAAGTATCTAATAATACCATGCTTAACCTAGACTTCTCTTCTCTTGTGGAGGAGGGGGACGGGAAACAACACAAGGTCAGCTTTACTCGAAAGAGGTTGTTAGATGCACTTGCATACGACAATGGGAAAATGAAACAGAGGTTAGAGTCCACCATGAAAAAGAGAAACACGGGTTTTATCGACTCAAAGGTGATGCATCTGTTGAGGAAGGAAGGAAATCATGACGGTAATATAGCAGAAGTGCGCCTTAAAAGACATGCAACAGACAAGGGGGATGATTATAATGTGAAGAGAAGACCCAACATGTATGGAAGAAATCGTTCCCCTAGCACATCCATGTATAGGAGGAAGTACAGATCTTCTGCCAGGGACTTTTATCCCAACAGTAACACAGCATATGACAAAACACGTGATGCGGGAGGTGGTTATTCAAAATGTGATAAAAGAGAAGCAAGACGGTCTTCCAAAAGGAAGGGAACGATCGCAGCAGATGATTATTCTAACCACCGTCACGACCACCACGACCGTCACCACCATCATGATGATCATCATCATAGAAGGCACAAGAGGAGAAGAAGCAAAAGCAGCAAAAGCATGGACGGTGCTGATGGCCCTGGGTATAACTCTCGAGGGGAAGAAGAAGCAGGCTCCACCAACCGACACCACGCGCAACAGAACACAGACAGCGACTTTAACAGCCTCGACGGCATCGAGCTCAACGACTATAACGAAATTCAAAAAACAGTTTCCTTTTATGTGAACCAAAAGTACAAGTGCGACTTTATCTCCAACTTTTATGACGGCAACCCGGAGCTGAAGATGTGAGTCGGCGTGACATGGCATGACGTGACGTGACATAAGAGGAGCGTTGCTCCGTTAGTCCGCCGCGTTCATTTTCCTGTCTGCACATTTTCCTCCGCACATTATATGTAATCTCCGTTTGTTCCCCACAGCTACCCCAAGCTCAACGTCGAGACAAAGAGCGACGTGCAGAATCTCATGAACATCCGCAACTCCTGCACCGATTACTCCATCTGGCAGTTGGGGCCAAGTAAAAGGGAGAGCAGATTGTCGTCACATGTGCGGAGCGGCTTGTCTAGTTGCAGCGGCAACGAAGCATACACACCCATTCATCTTCTTAACGTAAAAACCTCCCCCCCGTTTTTCCCGCAGCCGTCAAGCAGAAGAAGAAGTTCCTGCACATCTGTGAGCACTTCAGCAAGAAGAAAAACATCCCCGTTATCATTGACAATAATTTGACCATCTTTATCGTCCCCATGAAGGAGGACTACCTCAAGGACCTCGGGGTGAGTGTACAAATGGGTGAAGCGGCGACGTGGCAAAGCAGCGCGGAGCGATCATCCTGCCAAGGGTGAAAGATCGACCGTGGTACACCCCCTTTCGTCGCGCCCACGCAACGGATCCACTCATTCACACCGCCCCTACCCCCACTGCAGATCGACAACCCGGACTTCATGTACGCCTTTGTCCTCCAAACGAAGAAAAACTAGCACAGCGGGACGGGAACCCCCCTTTTTTTTTTTTTTTTTTTACCTCATATAATTCATTTGTTTCACGATACACATTTTTATTTTATATTTTTTTTTTTATGTACCTTTTGAAGATTTAAAAATGTAATTAACAATGAGAAAAAAAAAAAAAAAAAAAAAAAAGGCAAAAAAAATAGGGAGCAAAAATGAAAAAAAAAAAAAATGTAGTGGTAAAACACTGAACAAAAAAGACACTTTTTTTTTTTTTTACCCCCATTTTTATTGTCTCTTCTCTCGCTACAAGGTCGCTTTAAAAAAATTTTTCAAATGATGTATTTTTCCTCGCCTCGTCAACAATACGTTGTATTCGAAGTGAACCTTGCTCGCGGCGCATGGAGGCAATTCTCTCCGTAGGGGGGAGAAGGGGGCGGGCGGACACCTCCTCTCATTCCTTCTTCGCGTCACCTCCCACGCATGGTCTTCATCACATCACATAACTTTTTTAATTTCTACCGGGACGACAATGTTCTTACTCACAACACCATTTATGAATGTATCACATGAAGTCAATTTTTTTATGTTGTCCTCTAGGTTGTTCTGGTAGCTGTGGAAATTGTAATTCTCTACAGAAGGGGGAGTGTGCGTGTGTGTGTGTGTGTGGAGGTACTCAGTACGATGTGTGTGGGTGTGGCACAGTTCGTATGGGCCACGTGCCCCGACGCAACACTCCCTCTCTCTCTTTTTATACCATTCATGACGACGGCATATATCACGTCCACCACGTTGTAGGAGTTTATCCTCTCGGAGAGATCCAGCGGTCTGCACAAAAAAAGGGGAAGCGATACGGGTGATGCGGTTGAGGCAGAATGGTGAAATGACTCTGCTTACACGGAACGTATACGACGGCGCGCCACTTACTTCGACTTGAGTGCGAAGATGCACTGCTGGAGCGTTTTCACAATGTTGCTGTTCAGCGCCTTGCAGTCCTCGTTGTACTTGTCTTCCTCGTCGACGCTCTCCACCTTCACCTGGACGATGCCGTGGAGGAGCGAAGCGAACGTGAACGCCTCCTCCAGGTTTATCTGCCGGTGGGAAAAAAAAAAAAAAAAAGCGCCATAATGAGCGGTGCACAATGGGCGGCGCACAACGCTACGCATGTCACTAAATACGTCGCTACGCACAACGTTACGCACGCTGCGCACTACATCGCGCCGCTACTCGCTAATCGCCTCTGGCACTCACGTAAAGGTAGAGCCAGAACGGGTGGGGACAAATCTGCTGGGACAAAACGATGGTCTTGAAAATGACCACGTGCTGGTTGTAATCGAAATAGGTGTTGGACAGACAGAGGAAGCACTTGAGCAGATGCTTGTACTGGCTCAGGACATTATTCAGGATGATACTACAGTACTCTGCTTCCTCCACCAGGTACATGAGGGCCTCTTTGTTTGGCTTGGCCGTGGCGACCTCCGCCTTCTGTTGAAAATTCGGCTCATTCGCGTTGCCATGTCGCTGATGCAGAGTGTTCGCGTTGCCGTTGACCAAGTTGGCACTCTCCCGGTTCGTGTACCTCTGCAGGCGTCTGTTAACCACCTCGAGGAGTTTATATTTAACAATTTCAAGTTGCACCTTCCACTCCACACCAACATGATTATCGCTGCAGTAGTACGAGTAGCTCTCCATATTTTTTTTCACAAGGTGCACGTTCTTTCTCCTCTTCTGTCTTTCATCATCTTGAAGACTGTTCACCTTTAGCGAGTAGCTTTCCCTGTCGTGTCGTTTATTCCAGATGTGATGGTACAGGTTGTCGCTGCTTATATACTTGTAGTATGTGGTCAAGGTGATGTCCTTAAAATTCACAAAGGAGTTCATTTGTATCTTGTAAGGCCGGAAAAGTTTAATATACTTTCTACTTGCCTCAGCGGAAGTACATCCAAGGGTACCCACTCCTCCGTTTTCTCCACCCAAGAGGTGCATTTTATTAGCAATCAGGTGCTTCATATTTTTTATCTTCACTGGGGATGAAACAATATAATTGTCCGCCTCCCTTTGTACCCCCACATTACTCATATTACAAAAAATAATATCCACGGTTATGTTATAAGGCCAGGCAGAATTCATGTCTTCCTCAGACACATGGCTGTTCAAAATCGTTGCATTCCTCTTCCCCTTCCTCGTCCTAAAACTGTTTTTCAATTTACACTCCCGTTCGTACAGATCACTTATTTCATACAAGTTGTGAGTCATCCCCTTTCTCAGGTACTCTCCATCCTGTGCAGGACCTGACCCATGGGTGTTATTAGCAGCTGTTATGCTGGAAACAGCCATCCCGTTTGCAACACCGCTTGTCGTTTCACCCTTGTGCTGCTGCTGCTGTTGCTGCTGATGCTGCTGATGCTGCTGCTGCGCCGCTTCCCCCCCGTTGAACACATGCTCCTCCCTGTTCTGACCCAACCGATTCATCACAACGTCTCCCTCGTGAAGGAAAAACGAATCCACACCCCGGTAATCATACAAAGTGGAAAAATTGAAGTAATTAAAATTCAGTAGCTCAAAATTAATACCATACTTATTAAAGTTATTAATGACCAACCCCTTAACCAGTTCTATACTCTTCAGCTCCTCCATCTTCCTCTTGTATAAATTAATTAAATGAATCTCTTGTTTCCTTAAAGACCCTTCATTATATATATTCTTCAATTTGGTTAGTTCCATGGTCATCGCTTCAATTTTTTTCATTTTTTTACTCAACACATTATCCTGCTTGGCTAATAAATTCTTTTTCTCCTTTACCTTGGTCTCCATTTTACCATTATATTTCTTCAGCGTTTCAATTGCTTTTTTCGTTCTACTACACTTGAGTTGTGTGACTTCATACTTTAGAATAGCGTCGTCCAATTTCACACTCACATTATTCAGGTGATTAATTTTGCCAACGAAGGAAAACATCATGTCTCGTATGTGTTCATACAGATGCATCAGGTTCATTAAATTTCTTTTGTTACTCTTTAGCTCCTTGAGCGAGTATATCCTACACCTTCTCACAATTGCTAATGTCATTTGCTTTATCATTTCTTGCTTTTTTATTAAATTTTCGTTTAACTTTTTTTTCAGTTGCTGCTTTTGTTCTGTCCATTCTCGTCGCGTCTGTTCTTGCCTGTTCCTCTCCTCCGCGTCGTCCACCTCATGCTGCGTTTCGTCGTCCTGATGCATCGCTTCCTCCCCCTCGTGGGCCGCTTCCTCCACCTCATGCGCAGCTTCTTCCCCCCTGTAGGGTCCCATGTCGGCGCTGTGGGAGGCTTCTTCCTCCTCTGCCAAATTCAAACCACCCTCCACGAAGAACCCCTCTCCCACATCCTCCTCACCCCGCGCAACCTCGTCATATACATACTTCTTATAATTCCCCTCGTCTGAATTGGCCCTTGCGTGCTTGCCCAACTCATGCAGGTCGTCGCTGGACCCTCCCCCAAAGCCTCCCTGGTCGATGTGCGTAGTGTATCTCCCTCGGGCCTTCAATTGTGTAGCCTCCCCCAACGCCACCTGCACATGGTCCTCGTCCCCTGCATAAAGTTCACCGTAACATCCTTCCTCCGTGTATTGCTCGCCTCCCGCCCGATTAAACAGTTTCGCCTTTTGAAGCATCGCTTCCTTGTCCTCCTCCGCTTCCTCCACTTCGTCCATGTCGCCCATGTCATCCTCTTCTGCGCCCGTCCCCGGAAGCTCCTTCAACCTGCAGTGCTTGCCTTCTTCCTGCCCCACTTCATCATTCGCCACCACGCTCATCCTACTCGCGGAGCCCACTTGGGTCTTCCCACCCGTCTCTCCCCTCTCGCTTAGGCTCTTCCTGTTCCTGAACTTCGCTTGCGCCTCATCGTCCCTGGCATGCATATTCACGCTGTAGCTAGCTCTCCTGTTCGCTTTGGCTACCTTAAAACTGTTGTGCTGTACCTCCTTGGGGACTGCCCCTATGTTTATCGTTTCCCTCTGGGTGCCATGCCTACGTTCAGCGAACGGTCTCCAAATGGGTTCATCCCGCTTGTTCCGCTGCTGCATCCCCTGCGTCTCTCCTTCCAAGTGACCTGCATTTGCCGCATGACGCTCACCATCCTTTACATTTCCGCTCTCACCTGCATTCTCGTTTCCCTTGTCCCCCTCAGACAAACTGTCCTGTGTGGTGACCCCCCTCGTGTGTTCGCTCCGCCTATGCGTGGACGCCCTGTACTGTATTGTGACGTTTTCCTTTGGCGCCACTGCTTCATCGGTGGGAAGCCTCTCCAGGATGGACTTTCTACCCGCAGTGCCCACCTGAGTGTCCTGTCTCACTTCCTCCTCCTTACACTGCCCTTCTGCACTGTTCGCATTGTTCGCGTCCAACGGGTCTTCCTCCACCTCCTCCCCGCTTCTACCTATCCCCTGCTCTTCCTTCACCCTGTAGCTGGTCGTAGCCCCCTCAACTTCATCTCCATCTACACCCTTCTGTGATTCGCCTCCCCCCTTGGAATGCTGGCTGGGAGCCCTCTCATACACATCCTCGCTGCCCACCCGACCGTAGCTTTTAAACTCCCTAGAGTCGCTAAGTAGGCTATAGTTTAAAAAATCCTCCTCTTTTATTTGGTCAATATCGGTGGTTAGCAATTTATGTAGGACGTCATCATCATGGTCCTCTTTCTTCTCCTCTTCCTCCCCCTTCTCCTTGCTTCTATCTAGGTGAGTACTCTTTTTAATGTTCGCCCCTTGGAATCTATTCTTAATAGGGGATAAACGAGCTGACTGGACCATATCCACAGAGGTCTTCGTTTTAAATCGCATCGATTCGGAGGACAGTCTCCTCATGAAATCGTTAGGTGCATTTCCATCGACCGGGTACTCAATAGAATTTCTTTTTGCACCGTTAAGACTATCATACCTATACAGTAGCTCATCAATTGGTGATTTATCCATACAGCTAGCCAAATTGTGCTGAAATGTATCGACCTTTTCCTTGTCAGAACTAGAACCGTTAGATGCACTTTTCTGTTTCATTTCGGAATTATTAGAATCGCTAGAAATTCTAGTAAACTGTGTTAGATGTAAAGGTGATACTTTTTCCTTGTCATCAAAAACGGCAATAGATCTATGGGAAAACTGCACCGACTTCTTTCGTGCACTAATATTCTCAGGGGGGACTACTTCCTTTATCGGGGACAGAGAATTGCTCATCTTTAGGATCCCTTTCTTTGGCGTCTCATTGTTTAGCCTTATCTTCCTAGACGTGCTGATTCTGCTCTCCCATAAAGAGTAGCTACCATTGGACAATCTGCTGTTATTCAATGAATCGTCATTTCCAAAATTGAGGTCGACACTAATTTTCTTGTCTAGGGATGTTCTTTTTAAAAACTCAGAGTCACTTGCGTATCCTCCGTCCATCATATCTTCATTTGATTTGTCACTCATGTGACTCTTTTCCCCACTGTTTAGTAGGAAGCCCCTTTTCAGTTTATCTAGCTCCTCCTCGAGCACGTCAATGGAGCGTCTCCCACTTCGTGCACCACTTTGTACACCACTTCGCGGATCCCCCATCTCGCCCCCCTTGTCCGGGTCGACCTCCGAGCTGCCCTCCACCTTCGACGGGGACGGCGTTATCAAGTCACTATCATACGCATTATCCGTGCGCGAAAGCGAAGCATGAAATATCTCATTCCCACCAGAGGTGTAATTTTGCGACCACCTCTTCCCATTGTCGTCCGTTACACTTAAATTAAAAATGGAAGAGTTACGCATGTTACCCAGTGACAAGTGACTGTCTCTCCTGCGACTAGACTTTGAATTCAAATTCGTAAAATGAGAATCCTCCTTGAACTGAAAATCATCGTTGAGGAAACTCAATTGAGAATATCGAGGCAGATTATTCTTCTGTTGGGAATTCCTCCCGAGATTGAAATCAACACCTAATTTATCTCCTTCATCCAGGTCGCGTCCTCCATGCAGGTCACCACCTCCCATCAGCTCCCTAAACTCCTTAGACGTCATTTCCTTTAGCTCCCCCATGTTAGTCATCTTTTCCAGCTCCTTGTCCATGTCCTTTAACTCACTCTCACCTATCCCCTCACAACTTAGCAGGTGATAATCGTCGATGCTCCCGAGGGAATCTCCTCTCGTATGGACTCCTTGCTCATCCTGCCTGCTCGTCCCTTCTGTACCTTCCTTTCCATGCTTACTTTGCGCGTCCTGGGTTCCCATTTTGTCTCACTCGCACCGCCCTGGCGTACGTCGCAAAGAAGCAGTGTCCTGCCCAGGGATGGTGACGTGGGGTACAACACTAACCAGTGTGTAATGAACGGATAAACCCGCGCAGTTTAATACGACTTCCCTCTGTTACACAAATGTGCAGGTTGAGCACGTACCTACGCGCGATTCCTTTATCTGTTCAAATGGGGGGATACAAATTGCAAATTAAAAAAAATCCTTCGTATACGTCAAAATTGCCTGAACTGTGCAGGTAAAAAAAAAAAAAAAAATGGCTAGTTAACAAACCAAGGGCGCTGCGTTATTGCGGAGGTCAAAAATGGCGCAATGCTTTTTTTTCCCCTTCTCTCCACACCTGGAAATTTACACGCAGGTAAACTTCCCCACTTTTTTTGTATCACTCGGGAAGGAGAAAAGTTTGACTCAGAATTGGCGAGAAATGAACATGTGCCAGGTGTTACCGGATGGCCGCCGCGCTTTCTCACCTCTTTTGTCTTTCGTGTGGGGAGAAGCGAACGCGCCAAAAACTTGTGCGTAGCTCTTCGTCACTCAGCCATGCTTCGCGCTGTGCCACTTTGCCACTACAAGTTTTTCCTCATTAATGTATCTGTGCAGTTCTGTTTGCATTTTTTTTTTTTTTTCCAATTCATTTTGCAATTCACTTTGCAATGCAGTTTGCATTTCACTGTGCAATTTTGTTCGCTATATTTTTTTTTGCATTTTTTTTTTTTTTTTTTTTTCCTTCCTCGCAATTGCAAGCGCGAGAATACACCCCTGCGCTAAGCCGTTTTTCCAACACTCGGTCTGCCCCACGTGCACATGTGTACGTATTCGTCCCCCGGTTGTACGAAAGCGGGACGACACCTAATTTCCTCGCCCTGCCGCCCCGGAAAAGCCTATTTTTAAGTGTTTCCCTTTATTTTCCTCCACACCCCGTATGCAACTATATCATGCGAAGGGCAATTATGCAAGTGGCACTTTTTCGCACCTCTCAGGGGGGGACATAAATATCCCTCGGTCCAGTTAAGTCAAAATGGGCAGTGGCCCCCAGGGGACACACGTCAACGTGCTGGCCACACCAAACGGAGAAAATAAAGCACACAAAAAATGGAAAACAAAAAATGAAAAATAAAAAATGAAAAATGAAAAACAAAAAAACAATCGACGCATCGTATGAAATGCAGACGCAACTTTAGCGAGCGATACCCATGAATAGAGCTCGCGTGAACCCCGCTGCGGTCCCGTTTTGTTCGCTTCTCAAATGACGATTGCTTCCCTGTCACACAGACGACAACGCACACACAATCACTTTACCCTCTGCGGAGGGACATACACGATGAGCCCATCATACGCAGCGATCACTTCCCTTTCCCCATCGCAACCTGTATCAGTGGTGCTAGAGCAGTCAGGGCCATCTTTACTCTCCCCTTGAGAGATCCCTCCAAAGGACTCCTCTGCCTCCCTCTCGATTTTACGCATGACGCTGATGTTCTTCAATTTGTTGTCTCCAATATACCTCTGGGAGAAGTGCGTTAGAATAAGTTTCTTGGCGTTTATTTTTTTCGCAAATGTCCCCGCCATGTTTGCCGTGGAGTGCCCCCGCTCGGCAATTATTTTGTTGTACTTTTTCACCAGCCCGGGGGGCACCTGCTTGGAGGAGCTCTTCGCCGCGTTATCGCTGACAGAAGCGGTGGCACCCCTGTCCGGGACGTCGTTGCGCATGAGAGCTTCCCCCCCATGCACACCACTTGGCAGGGGCGGCCCCACGTGATCCTCACACAGCCCATCCGGAGCAGCGACGCCCTGGTCAGTTAAGTCGATCAAGCTGTTTGTCGCCTCATGTATCAACACATCCGCATCGGTGGCAAATTGCTCCAAGCTGGATGCATCATAGGTGTCCTGGCACACAACGATCTTCCTCCCCCTGTACACCTCCTTATAAGCATTCCCATACGTAAGCTGCGTTTTGTCCGGAAACACCACAACGTCCCCATCGTTCATTTTTCGTATGACATGTTCATATATTTTATAAGGGATGTACTCCAACTTTTCGCATTTCTTCAATTCATTATAATTTTTTTTAATAAGCTCATCTATGTAGGGTGCATTGAACTTGCTCTCGACGTTCAACTCCCGTATGACGTACCCGATGGTGGGCACAGTGTGCTTTATGGGGAAGCCCAACACTTCTAAGTAGTCATTTCGCAACACTGTATACATGTTGTGCTCGTTCGGCAGGATGAACTCCACGTCATCCCGTTTTTTTCGTCCAGCAGTGATTAATTCTTTTCCCGGGGGGGGAGTCATTTTTGCAGAGTGCACTGCTGCCCCCCCCTTCAACTCGTACACGAAAAACTTAGCCATTCGCTTCGAGTACGTCGAGCTGAACGTGTTCCTCAAGAAGCGGTGAGTCCCTTCAGGACCATAAATATTAATCGTGTTCGAATTTCTTAACATGGTCAGCACGGAAATAATCCCCAAGCAGTGATCTCCATGCAAGTGTGTAAGGAAAATATTTTTTATTTTGCTAATTTTTATGCTTGCCCTTTGTAAAGCAATGAATGTGTTTTCACCACAGTCAAATAGGAATGCCTCATTGCATTTTTTCTTTGTCGTTTGGAGGAGAAAGGATGATGTGCCTCTGTTCGTTGAGGGGTACATGGACCCTGTCCCCAAAAAAATTAATTTCCAATTACTCCTCCTTTCACTTCCATCCTCGAAACTGTTCCGCTTCACCTTCACATCGCCCGTTTCTTCGTCTAGGTATATTGCGTCCATTCTTACCTTATGCTCCTGTGAAAGCTTCATGATTGCTTCCTTCAAGAGCAGCAATTTTTTTGCCACGCCCCTCACCTCATCCTGTCGTTGGAGAGCGGCCTGCCCACTAGTAGTACCTCCACAGGGAGAACCCGCCAATGGGCCAGTCCCCACAGGGACAATTCCCTCCCCGCGTAACAACAGCATTGCGACGTAATTGCGAAATTCCTTGTCCAACGAATCGACCTTCCCTGCAGACTCTACAATGGTCAAGGGAATCATTCCCTGATCCACGATCTCTCCAATCAGATCGGTATAAATTTTTACTCGCTCCTCATTAAAATGAAAATTTCGCATTCCCTCTAACAGCATCTCTACCTCTTCCGGGCACTGTCCATCCGCTTGAACCTTTTTCTTCTTCTTCGTCTCAACAGTGGAGCCCCCCTCCACAGGGACACTGCCTACCACCTGGAGAGCATCAAACAGGTTCCTGTTGATGTAGAGAAGCCTGTCCACTCCACTTCTTACCAAAGCAAACCTCTTCTCCCTTATGTCCATCTGCTCTGAACACAGTTCCCCCGTCTGGGGGTCACCCCCACGTGATGTAATCGCTCCACCACGTGATGTGATGGCCCCCCTTTCGCAGGTCAACCCATCATGGTCTGCAAGTCTCGGCTCTGCAAACAGGTAGGCCTTCTTCACACAATGTGCATCACTCCCGCTGCTAAACTTCTGGCTCCCCGTTTCAGCACACCTCTTCGTCTTATCCCTCCTCCTCAGTGACAGTCGCCCAAACGTATAAGCGTCACGGGGGTACTGTTGTCCCAGGTAGGCAGGACTCTTTCCTCTTTGCAAGGTACACGTCAGTGAAAAGTTAAACAGGGAAAATATGACCAAATGGTACAAAAAAAAAAATGACATATTTTACATTTCTCAAGATCAGCCTTGTTATTTCTTCACCTTCAATGACAGTTTTTTTTTTTTTTTTTTCGCTGTTCATTGTTATCCTTTTTCACATATGCTTCTTCCCCCCATTTTGTATTGGCCCCCCTTTTTAATGGCGTATAGCAGTGTGGCGGAAAAAACACCTTCTCCCACTCCTCTTGTTTTTTTTTT